TTAAATCATTGCCATAAAAACCCATTCTTAAAAGGGACAATTAAAGCCATGCGGTAAATATCCTCTATTTAGCAAAAAAACAGAAACAAAAAAACCAAAATTTTTAGGTTCATAACATTATAAGTTTATAACAATTAATAATGATAGTGACTTCATTTCCAGTTGCACAAATTAAGTGTGTGTGTTTAAATCGTTGCCATAAATACCCATTCTTAAAAGGAACAATTAAAACCATGCGGTAAATATCCTCTATTTACCAAAAAAATAGAAACAAAAAAAAAAAACCAAAATTTTTGGCTCCATAACCTCATAAGTTTATAACAATTAACAATGATAGTGACTTCATTTCTAGTTGCACGAATTAAGTGTGCATGTTTAAATCATTGCCATAAAAACCTATTCTTAAAAGGAATAATTAAAGTCATGCGGTAAATATCCTCTATTTACCAAAAAAAAAAAAAAACCAAAATTTTTGGGTCCATAACATTATAACCATGGTCGTCAAGATTGTGTTTTAAATCGAAAAATCATATGATTTTATGATTTTAAATATGTATTTCGAGTAGAATTTGTGTTAAAATTGGATTTCCATAAAATCGTAAAATTGCAATTTCAAGGTAAACTTGTTTGAAATCTCAATTTTACTTTTACAAAAATTAAAAAAAAAAAAGGCTTCTAGAAATTCAAACATAAATTTGATCTCTGATCTTCTTTACTTTAGGTTTGCCACAGGTAAAGGAAAGATTGGACTGCTGTGATGCATTGTTGTTGCTCACTATCACTGCTCACTGCTTACGCACTTACTGGCAGGATATAAATCTATTTGGTGACCCAAATCATTTGGAACTAGCCTTACACAATAAGAGTTGATTGCTGTTGCTCATTGCTCACGCAAAAAAGGATAAAATTTGTTGCAAAAAGAAGAGTAGATAAGGAGAAAGGGAGCTTAAATGGAGCAAAAATACTAGAAAAGAGGGAAAATGACAGCGGAGAAACCAAGGTGAAAGGACGAAGGGGCATTCTTTTAATGGTGCTTAGGTTGACACGTCACATGGATTGGGTGTTTGTTATCTATATATATATTAATTTGGGGGTAAAAAATGTGAATGTAATTTAATTTAAATAATAATTTTTAAAAAAAATTTATATTATTATACATTATAATATTGATATTTAATTTTTATCAAAGTTATTGTAAACTTTAATTTTATATTTGATTTTTTATCATTGAATTTTAGTCATATTAATATAGAAGTATAAATTTTTATTATTTATTTATTAAATTTAGTAAACTTTTAATTTCACTAATTCAATTTTACAATTTTAATTTTACTTACCAAAAATGATTTAGGTAAAATCTCAATTTTGACAACTTTAATTATAACAATTAACAATGATAGTGACTTCATTTCCAATTGCACAAATTAGGTGGACGTGTTTAAATCATTGCCATAAAAACACATTCTTAAAAGGGACAATTAAAGCTATGCCATAAATATCCTCTATTTACCAAAAAAAAAAAATAGAAACAAAAAAACCAAAATTTTTTGGTCCATAACATCATAACAATTAGAGGTGTTCGTGGTGTGGTTTGGTTCGGTTCGAATTTTAATATTTTTTAAACCAATTTAATTTAATCGGTTAATAAAATTTTTAAACCAATCTAATCCACTATTATATGATAACCAAACCAATCCAACTTAAATCGAATCGGTGTAATTCAGTCAGATTGATCGGTTTTTAACACTGTTAAATATATGAGATAATCTAAAGAATTTTAATATTAAATAGAAAATATAGTTATAAAATACATTAACATCCAAATTACTAGAAATATAATAAAATGCATAAATTATAAATAAGTTCTTATACTCATTTACAATTGTAAAAATTAAAAAGATTTGAAAATTCTTCTTGATTACATCACTAAAGGCATCAAAAATAATAAAAGATAACTTTAAATTTTAAATACAGTACAAGTAATTCTTAAAGGTTAAAACTAATTTTTTTCCTAAATGCAGTAAATGATTCAATCCCATCTTCCAAATCTTGTTAAAAACAATTAAAATTTAACATAAATGTCAATAAAAATGATTAGAAGCATTCATAATTAAAATTTAAAACTTCTTAACCAAATATCCAAAAATAATAGAATATCAAATTTAGTTCTATTATATAGTTTTAA